CTTGTCGATTTTCCATCAACTTTTGGGGTGCGGTACAGATTTGAATAATTGAATTTATAATTCAGGGATGGATGAATGATTTTTTGTTAGTAGGTAAACTTAATTTTAGAGAGAGACGAAAACATATTTTCAAAATAAAATACATAGAAAAAAATCTAAAATTTACTGTACTTTTAAATTTTTTAAAGACGATTGGCCTCACCCGACCCTCTCAATCAATCCCTGAATGATGGATAACATAAGATGGATATGCGTATCAACTCTTAATCCACAGCTCGAAGTAATTTTAACATTTGGATTCGTATATTATATGAATCTGTTAACATATATTTAATAGTGACAAATATTCATATCATTAATTTGCCACACAAAACATTTGGTGATGGTGTTCTATTCGTTATCTATATACGTATTGTGAGCACCCAAATCTGTTTCGACTTAAGTTTAGGACCTTAACTTAAATCAAATGTTCTAAATTTAATCAGAAATTCGAATAACTCTAGACTTCTTCCGTAGTTGGGGTAAACAATACCTAAATAAAATTAGGATTAATTAAACAAGGTTTCCATCAAATCAACTGATTGGGGAGCACTTCAAAGTTGCACTAATTAAGGAATTTGAAGACGACAAATGATATGATGTGAGGAAAATATATGGGAAACACAGGTTTGTGTTGCAGATTGTACCAAGTGATCATTGACTGATTGGAGTGTTGGAACTGGGAAGAAACAAATACAAGGTTTAATTAATCTATAATAAGATTTTAATTAAAATAATTATATATTTAAATTTATATATATTAAAAATTAGGGTTAACTACATGGATGATCACTTATGTTTATGTTTTGTTCAATTTTGGTCATTGATTTAAAAAAAAATAAAGATATGGCCACTTCTATTTTTATTTAATTAAGATGTGCTCACCCTGAGTTAACTATCTTTAACAACGGTTAAATATTTTTGATATAATCACATATTTGATCATTGTTATTTACATATTCTGTCAATTTAATCCTACTTTTAATGAATATAATCATCTAATTGAATGATGTCACGTGTCACCATTTAGTTAGAGGACTAGTTTTATTTTAATTTAATATATTTATTTTCACCAATCAAAGAGTGAAATGTGTCACCCTCTGGTTGAAAGAAAACAAATGAAAGCAAATTGCGGTAAACTGTATTTTGTTATTAACTTAACTTAATTTTTTTTATTTTCATTGTGGTGATGTGATACACACTTTGTCACCTTAGGGGACATGGTACATGACATTCCATCACATTAGAAGACATGACACATACTATTTCATCACTTTGAGTGACATTATACATCAATAATTTAACATATGTGAAAATGTCACATCTGAAATATGTGTTGGTCGTTAGTTAGTTAAACTAAAATAACCATTTACAAACGTTGAGTGCTAATTTTTATAGGTTTATATAATAAGTACTTAAAGTATATAATCTTTTTCATTTAAGTAGCTAAAGTATTTTTTGTCTAAATAAGTACCTAAAGTTATTGTTTTGGTCAAAATAGGTACCTATTGGTTAAAATAGGTGCCTAAAGTATTCAATTTTGTTAATCCAAGTGCTTAAAGTATTATTTTATTAGTGTCACATGTCAATTTTTTTATAACTTAGATGAAAAAGTTTGAATAGTTTAGGTACCTATTTTGATATAAAATACTTTAGGTATCTATTTTGACTAAAAAGATAACTTTAAGTATTTATTTTTACCAAAAAGTACTTTAGGTACTTAAATGAAAAATAAAGTATACCTTAGGTATTTTTTATGACATAAGCCATTTTTAGGTGGATCATGAAATATGTGGGTATGGGCATACCTTGCTCTCATTACATGGGTTCTAAGCTATCTGCTCTGTTAATTTCTATTCCCGATTATTGATTTGATTCTGTTTACAACATTAAATAAACTCAATTCTTTAATGGCATATAAATATATTTTTAATTTTTAACTAAATTAATTGAAAATTAAATGTTAAGTTTATATTTTCTTTTTAATTTAGTTGATAACTCTTTTTTTATCAAAGTGAATGTTTAATATTTTATTCTGTTATTATTTTAAAAATGAGTCGTCAATAACTTTAACATGTCAATACTTTTACTGGAGGGAACCAAGATTAAACTGTCAATTTTTAGAGGAGACAATGATTAATTTTATCACTTTACTAGATACAATACTTTACAATTTTGAGAAGGCTCAGTAAGAAAATAAGTGCTAAAATTACACTTAAAATTGATTTTTGGTGTCTAATTTTTTTTTATTAAAAATAGATACCTAATTTAATGTTTTATTTGTTATACTTTTAGTGTTTATCGTTAAAAAAATCATTAAGTGACATGTTTCACGTTTATATATATATTATTTAAAAATATTTTTTTTAAAAGTCGTTAAGTGACACGTGTAACTACATTCTCCGAAATGATCCCGACTATATCCTCACCCTTCCCTGTGGTGCTCGGTGGCACGACCGTCGACGTCGATGCGGGTAGGGAATCGCTTGCTGCATGCCAGCTAACAGGAAGAGAAGAAATGCAAGTTGATGCTTATGGAAGATGAGAAAGGATGATATATATATATATATATATATATACACACAAAAGGTTTGAAAGGGTCAGTTTTTCAACAGTAACGCGTCTGTGGTACCACGGGCTTATAATGGCTGACGTTGATGTGTTGTCATCGATTTTATGGCATTTTTATCTAAAAATCACTCAAATATTATAATTACTTCTCAATTACCATTTTTTTTAAATTTTACCAATCTAAAATTATTTTTTACAGGGTAATAATAAGTCACATTACGTAAAGCACACCCTTGTTTAGGTGGACTGAAAACGTCTCCTGAGATATACTTTTCATGAGAAATATTGACATTACATCACGTGGGAATGTGTGTTTCAAGGATCGCGTATTCAAAGGTTTTCTTGCTACATCAAATTCCCTAAAAGTATTTTAAAAAAATATACTTAAAAAAAGAAAAATAAAACTATAAGGACTAATAACATAATTTAATACATATTAGTTTCATAAGTTGAATAGCTTAATGGTATTAATTTATATAGGCATACTAGAGTGTTTAAGATATGTTTCTTGGCTACGTAGGATAAAAGTTAAAATGTGTATTCTCTAACTTTTTTATTTCTATATCTATTTATCTAATAAATCCATCTATACACTATTGTTAAATTACATTAGGTTAATGTTTAATATTAAGGTTTATATAAATTAAGATTAGATATTTCTTTACATGTTTATATATTTAAATACTTTTTTAATTACGAGTTCAAAAAAATTTAAGTAACACAAATTAAAAAAAAATTAAATGTATTATTTATTAAATATGATTAATTAGATTGTTATGTGATCCTAATCGTATGATTATATAACTTATAAAAATATTTATATTATCATTTTAGTAGTAACAACTAATGGTGTTATCATTTATATACATAAATTTTGTTCTATAATTTTTTTTAATTATTCGTGAGGACAAATTTCTATATACATCTTATATGTTCATAGCACCAAACAATGTTTTTTTTCATATTTTTATATTAGATTCAACATAAATTATAGATCTAATTAATCATGTACAATAAATAATATATTTATATATCAATGAAATATTTTTAATTCATGTTACATAGATTTTTGAACTCATAATTAAAAAAAATAAGTATTTAAATTTATTAACATATAAAAATATATAATCTTAATTAATAAACCTTAATAATAAATATTAACCTAATGAAATTTAACAATAGTCTTAAGTCAATTGTTTGGAATTTACTTATCGAATCACATATATTATCTATTTATTTATCTATCTATCTATTTGGTCGTTCAAATAATATTTAATTATAAAATTCGACCGTTTAGTGGGTTTTCTCACATTTCTTTGGTCTATACTTAGCTTGTAAACGACCAATAATTGGTTAGGGAGAATACAGCATGTGGTTTGCTAATTGACAGCAAAAATGTTATTCCATTCAAGTAGTGGCCAACGGGATTGATTAGTATAAAGTGTCTAATTGGCCCACTTCCAATTTGCTACACAATTTTATATTCGTTGCCACTACTGGCTTAAGGAAGGAGGATGATCGTTAACCACCATCCCCACTTAAAATAATAGCAAAAGTAGCCAACAACCCTTCACCAATCAAAATAAAATAAAATAAAAAGTTTGATACATTGATTGATAAGCATAACATTGTGAACCGTCTAGTCTATTATGAGATAGGTTAAAAAGATTATGATATACAAACCATCACAAATAAAATAATAACATTAATTTATTTAAAAAGTTCAAATAAAAATTAATAAAAAATAGACAAATTTGTTATATAGAGTATAAATACAAAAGGTCATATTACATTAAATGTTAGAATTTTAGTTAAATGTATATGAAAATTTATTAAATGTTCTTAATTAATAAAATTTGTCTATCAATGTGATTTTTAACTAGTTATTACATGTAAATAAGAAGTGACTAGTTATATAAAATTTACTTCAAAATTGATGGATCTCATTGACTTACACCATGGATGACGTGATGAGTCGAGTCCATCAAATAATTTCTCTATATATAAGGATGCCAACAGATCATGTTTTTACCAACTAAACTCGGCCTAAGAAGTATACCACCCCCACTCAAACTTAACACGACCTAAGGTTAAGAAAGTCACATCTAACTCGAAATTTAACCTAAATTTTTTTGGGGGAAAATTTCATCGACTCGACACAGGTACATACATATAAACATTTCTTGTTTTTATTAGATAAAGTAGGACTAATTTGAATATAGACATTTTTGAATAATTTTTTTCTTTCAATTTATTTATACACCGCTCATGTTACACCATACACTTTTTAATCAAATCAAAATAAAATTTGAATATTGTATTCAGGGAGAAATTGTCATGTTGAAGACTCTAAGAGTGTAGCCAGCTCATTCCAGCAATCCCACTCTCCATACGTCTTATCCCTTAAAACCCCACACCGATGGCTCATCTTCACATATTCACATCCTCTTCAACACAAACAAAACACAAGCATGGCTTCATCACTTGTCTCTTCCGTTGTCTTGTCTTTGTTTCTAGCTTTCATTGCCACGGTCTCAGCTCAAACAGCTCCGGCACCTGCGCCCTCCGGTCCCTTGAACTTCACCGGCATCCTCGACAAGAATGGCCAATACACCTACTTCCTCCGCTTCTTAGCCGACACCCAGGTCGGTAGCCAAATACAAAACCAACTCAACACCACCAGCGAAGGCTTCACCGTGTTTGCTCCGACGGACAATGCCTTCAACAACCTCAAACCTGGTCTGGTCAACAGCCTCGACCCACAGAAGAAAGTCCAGCTGATCCAGTACCACGTTCTTCCTAAATACTACTCCTTGAACGACCTCCAATTCGTGAGCAACCCCGTTAGGACCCAAGCCACCAGTCAAGAAGGCGCCGTCTTCGGGCTCAACTTCACCGGCCAGAACAACCAGGTTAACGTCTCGTCCGGGGTGACCGAGACGCTGGTTAATAACGCGTTGTATCAAAAGAAACCGCTGGCGGTTTATCAAGTGGACAAGGTGTTATTGCCCGAGGAGTTTTTTGGAGCCAAATCGCCGGCTGCTGCTCCTTCACCTGCAACGAAGAAATCATCAGGGCCTAAATCGAACTCGACCGCATCGTCGACCGCCGATGAGCCAGCTGCGGCCGATGATTCGGGTTCGAGCGGAACGTTTATGGGGTTGGGGTTGGTCCTTGGGCTTGCATTGGCTTGCATGGGATTCCTCTCGTGATATATATGAAGTTTGAATTGGTTTGTGGTGTCGTCGACATTTTTCATTATAAATTTCTTCTTTTCGAACATTGATTGTATTTTTCTCATTTTTTTGTTGATTTTTCTTCCGCGTCTATTGATGTTAATAATAATAATAATATGTGAGTTTCTTCAAATGCCTTAATGATCTCTTCATCTCTCTTTCCTTACCATATACATCTGAGTTTGATGCTAATTTCATGAAAAATAGTGTAAATTACTCCATGGTCATTAAACTTATGATTTCTATTTTATTTAAATGACTGAATAAAATATCTTTTCGATTAAATAACTAAACTTTTAATTTGCTTTTAGTCAATTCATTGGTCATTAATTGTTAATAAAATTATTGACGTGATAATTAAATAAATTTGTATAACAACACATTTGATCTTCATTACTTACACATTCTATTAGTTTGTTCCTCATTATTTTATAGGTTTATTACATTTATTGAATTACACATGTCATCATCTTGCTAGATGATTAAATTTATTGAATTATTTATATTAATATTAAGATCAAATTGATAGAATGTATATAAAACGAGAATAAAATTTACTATTATATAAATTTATTTAACTATCACTTTAACAATTTTGTTAACAATGAAATACTGGTGGCTTGATTGAAACCAAATTGAAAATTTAGAAATCTAATTGACAAAAAAAAAACAAATCAGTTATCAAAACAAAATACATCTTATAGTTTAGTGACTTTGGGGGTAATTTACCCTGAAAATATTGAAAGGGATTTGTGCATCCTAACATTTGCGAATTGGAAGGGTCGTCCTCGGCTCTGTAGTACCGATTTGGATTAGTCGGTCAATAGATCGGATACCAGTGATTAATTAAAAAAAATAGATGATGAACGTGATTGGCACCTCATTTTGCAATATATATTAACCATTTTCTTGCTTATTTAACACAACATGCATCAAAGTAATGCTTTCTTTCTGCATGTCTTACATTTAATATTAACCTCATTGCATTTACCCCTACCATAGTCACATGTTCCTTAATTATTTTGTCTCTCAATCACAGCAGTGATAGATCCAAGGAGGTATATACTATATAGTTTATGCATTACTTGTTATGGATCGTGTTTGAAATGCCCTGACTCAGTGCTGAACCGAGGACCAGGAGTTTGCACCAACCCAGTTAAAAGCTATAGGGCTAAGAAAGGCATCTGGGCTCCCAAAGGAACTGACTAAAGCAAGTGCATGTGGTCGAACTTCACTGCACAGATTTGTTATCTCTCTCCTCACTGCTGCCCCATTGTCCACTGATAGGAACCCATATCTCAGATATGTAATGTCTTCCAGACAATTGAATGCATACAATGATCTCACCATCCCCAGCACATCCTGCAGAAGAAGAAAAAATGACAATGAAGACTCAACAACGTTCATTTCGCTAAATTAGACTCGAATATCGAGCTGGTAGTAATGCTAGATTCACCTTTAAAGAACCAGAAGCTAGAGTTGCTTCTGCTTCGACAAATGTTTGGAATATTGCTCGGTCTGAAAAGGCTTTGCCCAAGTCCTCTGCTACCTGATAACTCTGTTGTGGAGATAAGTAATACGAGTATTAGACTACAAGCTGGAGGGGAAAAAATTAGCTACTTTAGATAAAAGCAGGTGCTTCCTCACCATGTTGAAGGTCTGCTCTTTACTTTCTCCCTTGGCTAGACATTGTGAGACATCCGCAACGAAACGATTCAAAAGCTCTCTCTCCCTTAAGCACAAGGCATCCATCTGACACGGGACAATGGCAGGCGATACCAATGAATTTAATGCAGAACTAAAAGAATATCGCAACTGATGCTAGTCTTATAATTTACCTGGAATTGGGTGCATCTGAGGGTAGTGCTAGTGAGGTGTGCTGGAATGACAGGACAGGGTTTATTCATGTGTTCTAAACCTAGACCCTTGAAAACCTTGTTTCTCTTCTGGGCTGCCATATATTCAGCAAAGAGAGCTTTGCTGACCTGAATCAACATGACAGGGCAGGGTTTAGTTGTAAAAAAAAAAAAAATTGTCATTGTCAAAGAAAATGTAAGAAAAGAAGAAAGCAAAATTTTGCCTGCTGAATCAAAATATTGTTGTCCCCCTCAAAAGTGGATTGCACATCATGCTCGGCTTTCAGATGACCAACACGGTTCTCAGTCCTCCACAAGCTTCACGACATTCCTAAAGCATTCAACGATTGAATGTCTGTAATGACACTTATTGTTGAAATCTTCAACTTAATCCAAAATTGTTTGTACTCTCACCTGAAGTATTTGCATGTTACTCCATGCATGTAAGAGTAGCCTTGAATGAACTTGAAACTACATGAATGGTTTTGTTTGATTGGGGTGTCCTCTTCACATAAAGCATTTTCAAGTAATTTGCACCGAAACTCAAAGCATAGCTGCAGCATGAAAAAGCAAATAGATTAAGGGGCCGTTTACTAAAATCGTAGGCTGAAACTAAACCATCAATGGTCCCATCGCAGTCCAAGTAATTGAAATACAGGTCTTCAATAACTTCATGTCAGCATAAACATCTAAGGCCAAAGCTCACCACCTATAAATTGGAATAAATTAGCTATTAACATAGATGCTAAGTTCTTATAGTTGACTTGGTTGACACTCCAAGTCCAAATACAATAATAAGGTGTTGTATCCAGGACCTAATCATGTGATTATTCATCAAATGTGCAGATGATGTGCGTATCCGCACGCGGGGGGTGGGGGGGACACATCGAAAAATCAATTTAGCACCCCAACAAAATAACCATCTCTTGATTATCTAAAGTTCTAAAGCACTAGAGCTACACTCTTGAGTGCATTGGTATCAGCCTGAACCAGAAAGAAATGAAAAGGAATACATATTTCATAAAGATAAACTGTACATATACTTACATCTTTGCAATGAGAGGCAAGAGTCGTCGTTGATGACTTGGGTAATCTAGCAATAAGACCTCGGGCTCGTTCGGCTTAAGAGAAAAAGCCCTCCTTGTTAGAGCATACCTGATAGCAATAGATACACCAACCTGAAAGGAGAGTAATGACATGATATCAGTGACCTTCATGTTTGATATTACAGTCCTGCCACCCGCACCTCAAAATACAAATGCAAATCTTATCCACCAATAAAATGAGATCAGCTACTTGAAAAGAAAAATGAGATGTACCTTTGACTGATAAACTGCATTAACTGCAATAATAACACGGCCTGCTGTCAAAGGGGACATGAATGCGGCAAATCTCTGAATTCACAGTAAAAGTGTAAGTTTTTAATACCAGATTCGACCGTTATCGACACCATTTAAACCAATTTTATGACCACAGTCCGCAATGCGAATGTTTGGACATACATTATCATCAGCATCTCTGATCTGGGCTATAAGTGCATGAACCCCTTCATTGTTTCCATTGATATTAAGCTGTGAAAACACAATCGTGTGCGTCGCATGCTAGACAACAAAGCAACAGTAGAAGTATACCGCATCAGCATATACGCAAAACAGAGGAAAGGATGATATAAACAGTTAAATAAAAACTACACATTGCAAAGTAATCTAAAAATAGATTGTATGAAGAGAAATGGAATTTGGTTCCAAGTCAAGTATACCTTGTCTGCCCCTCAAATCCAATACTTCTGAGCTGATTCACAAGGTGTATTAATGACAAACTCCCCAGTCTTTGAGTCATATGTCGTTACTGTTTCAATTCCGCGAACCTAAAAGCAATAACTTTAGAATAAATCAAGAAAAAGAAGAAGACTGCATAAATATCAGGAAAAAAAGGCCTGATTCTCCTTACTAAAGGATCAGAAAACCTCCACATACATTACTTCCATGCCCCAACTCAGTCATTGAAAAGCAACCTTTGACCTTGTAATTTTCAGTGTCCCTCAGCCACTTGTCGTGATGGTGCTTTGTACCAAAAAATTGGATGGCACCACCCCTGCATACATTATGACATTAGTAGTAGTATTTAGTTAAGTAGTAGCATTTTGCTGTTTGATTTTCTATTCCCCGTTGCAAGAAGGTTAAATGAGGATTCAATCAAAATATGCATCTTGTGTTGTATATTATAGAATAGACTAATGCAACCAAAGAAAATACGAAATGAACATACGTTTAATGAAGACACTTCAAGGAACCTACTCTTACGCGAACACGCTTAATCAAAGCTATTAAAAAGGAAAAACTGGGAGTGATGGCATAAGTGTTTGAATGCATCTAAAGAGAAAATTTGAGACAATAGTCACCAAAAATTTATACATAAAATAAAAATATTAAATCCAAAGATATAAGAGAATGAAACCTTCTAAACATCAAAACAATCCAGTAACCTTCATAAAACTCTTTGTCTCTGTCGAACGAGACACTTTACGATGTAATAAAAGAGTGGTGAGCAAACCAAACAATTTGACAAACTGTTTCGCTACACGATTCTGATTATATCGGCAGTCGACCATTTACAAAATAAGGGATCTGACAAAACGTGACCACTAAAAAGCCAATCATGAAACAAGTGCCATGAGGATCTTTGTGGAAACACCAACACAACCTCAAAAGTATGCGAAAAACTTACCGAAAACCATAAGAAACGTACCACAAGAGCAGAGAAAAAGCGTGCTACAAGAAAAGAGAAAAGCATATCACAAATACATATATTCTTATTTACAAAAGAGGGGATCTAACAAAACGTGACCACTGAAAAGCCAATCATGAAACAAATGCCATGAGGATCTTTGTGGAAACACCAACACAACCTCAGAAGTATGTGAAAAACTTACCGAAAACTATAAGGAATGTACCACAAGAGCAGAGAAAAAACGTGCTACAAGAACAGAGAAAAGCGTGTCATAAGTACATATATTCTAATTTAAAAGTGAAAAAACTAAAAAAAAAACAAAGACATTATATGAAAAAAATAAGAAAAAATAATAATCACCGGCGATCGGTAACTAATATTAAAATTATTGCCGTAGTGAGTTAAACAAAAAACAAAAGGAGAATAAAACGACACAAAAATATTGAGAAAAAAATTAGGTTAAAGAAAAGATGTATGCTTTTTTTTAATTTCTTTTTATGAAAGAAATGAATAATCGATAGTATTATTAGTCATTAGCTGCCTAATAATTAATGAAAGGATACTAATCTGGACTGTCGATAGTATTATAACTCATTAACTGTTTATCTGGAAACTTAATAAAATGAAATTAAAAATTTAATGACTGTATTACAAGTTTTAAAAATTTGGTGACCGAATTGAAAGGATCTTAAAAGCTCTGTGATCAGTCTAGCTTACCCTTAAATTAATGGGTAAATTATGCATTTAATACTTAAATTATCAGTTTTGGTTCATGTTAATACTTAAACTTTCAAGTTTTTCAAAATCATGCCTAATTTTTATTTTCATTTTATTTTAGTACCCGTTGTTAAAAACTTAACGCGTTTAGTACCTAAACTTTCAGTTTTGGTCCTTTTTAGTACCTAAACTTTCAGTTTTTTTCAAAACATAACATTAAATTTTGAACTTAGGTACTAAAATGAAACAAAAACTATATTTTTTATTGTGGGATACTAAAATGAAACAAAAACTAAACATTAAGTATGTTTTGAAAAAACTGAAATAGACTAAAACTGATAGTTTAGGTATTAAATGCGTAGTTTACCCTAAATTAGTTTAATTTTCCATGAATCCGATCTTCCTAAAGACAAACGCCCCTGCGTATGGCCCCATCCTGAACGGGTAATTGATTTCAATTTCCAATCTTTCTCTCAGTTGCTGGCTTACTGCTTACGACCTCCACGATCAGACCCAACAGTTCATCGAGCGATCTGGTTTGACTCTTCACGCTTTTCATTTTGATTGACTGTCGACGAATTACTGTACTCTTCTAATATTTAGGAGAAGTTGAGATTGAAACTAAAGAGATTGAGGAGTAGGGAAAATATTAGTTTGCTATATCAAATTTCCCAGTTTTTGTGTTATTTCTATGATTAACCATTCTCTTCCCAGAACAGATCAAATATTAGATGGTGAAAATAGTTGCGGTCAATGGATTTTAGGTTTCTCATGTTTTGGGTCTTTTTTTTTAATTGATTAATCATATACGCAGACAAAGAGTGACATCAAATTCAATGAGTGCAGAATTGTTAGTGACTTTTCCTTTATTGGCAATCTCTAATGGTTGAACAATTTTGCCTTTTGTCTTTACTTTAGCTGGAGATATGCTGTTCTTAAACCATCTATGGGAATATGTTGTGACTTCACTTCCGGGGCTGCTCATACCCAGCTCTGTGTCTTTTACAGGTCTAAGCTAAACTTTTGAACACTACATTAGTGCTTTCACCGAGGTCGGACGACTCGGTAACTTGAGTTCAGGGACACAGATTGACTTGTTTTCATCTATCAAAATGACAGAGATTTCAAGTTACACAGCTTGCAGGCAGTTATCTCAGATGTTCTTGGCTGTTGCCTTCTTTCATAGTTCGGAATACATTCTAGCGGTCGCGTTCCACGGGAGATCGAATGTGACTCTCAAGTCACTTCTAATCAGCAAAAATTATCTTCTCACGATGATCTTTTCCTTTCTGGAGTACGGTGTTGAAATCGTTCTATTTCCTGGGTTGAAAGAACACTGGTGGATGAGTAACACAGGTCTTGCATTGGTGGTCATAGGTGAAATTATACGGAAGTCGGCTATAATAACTGCTGGTCGAGCCTTCACGCACCTTATCAAGGTTCACCATGAGGAGCATCATCGGTTGGTTACTCACGGTGTCTATAGATTCGTCCGTCATCCGGGGTACTCTGGTTTCCTCATTTGGTCAGTAGGCACTCAAATAATGCTCTGTAATCCCATATCAACAGTTGCCTTTGCAACTGTTGTGTGGAAATTCTTTGCAGAAAGAATACCATATGAAGAGTATTTCTTAAAGTGGTTCTTCGGTTCAGACTATGAGGAGTACGGACGCCAGGTACATTCCGGTGTTCCATTTGTAAAATGAGGGTTTATGACCTCGGAGTATGGATTTTGAGTAGGGATTTGGTTTAACTTCAATGATTGAAAAGCTTAGCAGCTACTAACTGAAGTTGGCATTTGTATATGATCAGAAACGGACATTTTCGTGTCATCTTATTCACACATGAATGAAAGCAAAATTTTCACGTGGCTAATTAACATATGCCTCTATTCCTATGCTCTACTCATTAGTTAACATAATTTTAACCATTTGTCCATTTGTCCATTTCCACATTTTTCTTGTTTTAATTCCATTATTGTTTATGTCAAATGACATTAGACTGAAAAGTAATGGACCTTCACTGGGAATAACAAGATAATGAGTTAATATTACCTGTTTGATACAAAAAGTCCAAGGCCTCAATTGGTCAGAGCGTGTGCTAATAATGCGAAGCTCGCAGGTTTGTAACCTGCATGGGCCATTTTGAATAATTTTGTTTCCTAAACGGCGTCGTTTGATTATTTTAGCTGTCTTTAAAGGCCACCACTTTCACGCCGATCAGATTGCACGCAAGTCCTATTCTTATTTACTTTGAAATTTCATTTTTCTCACTTGTTTTTATTTATTTATATTATTAATATATTATATACAATATAATATATATTCGAAGATGATTACTACAATCATTTGACATTAAACGTTCATATTCCTAACATTCATAATGTCTAAATTCGGAACCTCGATAAATAACAATAATTCTTTTACCACCGAGATTATTTGGTTCGTAAATTTATATACATGAAAACTAAGTAGTAACAACACTACGAATTGTTTTTAAATAACATGGGTGGTTGTATGATAATATATATTTATAATATTTTTAATCATTAATAATATTTGTATTTTATAACTATTTGAATAAAAAAATTAAAAAAAAAACATTCTTTTTAACAGTGGAGGCTATTTAATGATTAGTATAAATCGTTTTTTAAAATGAACTTTTTTTTAAGATAATAACTAAAACAAGCCAAAAACTAGAACAAGTTTTCTCAAAAAATAATTTTAAAACTAAAATTATCATCAGGCCAAATAGATAATTCTATATACTTTTCGTCAATATTTTTTAAAATTTGAAATTGCCACTAATCATCATTAACAGAGCCTAATCTCTTGCGTTTTGCATTATTCGAATTTTTGGACCAACTATACCATTTTCAAATCATTCGAAAAGGAGAAGGGGACACCTTAACCGACAATTTTAACTTTTCGTTGAAATGTCCAATAAATCCTTCTAACATACACCATTATGGCATCACCCAACCGGAATCAAGGGTACTCGCGTAATTCCAGCTTCGTAACCTTTGCGTTTCTTCTACCTTTCCCCTCCCTCAGCTTATCTTTATATAGTGTTATATATTCCCTTCAGTCTCGTTTTCATTCCACTGTTATATTTTATATTTAAAGATAGTCTGGAGATTAGGGATTTTAATTGCGAAACCCTAATCTCAACCCTCCGCCTTAATCAATGGCGGATGAAGTCGTGTCTACCGTTTGCATAAACGACACACTGACGGACGACGAGCTGAGATCGGTTCTGGCGCGGCTAGACTGTGACAAGGACAAGGAAGTATTCGGTCTGGTCTGCAAGAGATGGCTGCATCTGCAGAGTACCGAGAGGACGAAACTCTCTGCACGCGCGGGATCGCACATGCTCAACCGCATGGCTGCCAGGTTCACTCGTGTGCTGGAGTTGGACCTCTCTCAGTCCGTGTCCAGGTCTTTTTATCCCGGGGTTACCGACTCCGATCTCGCCGTCATCGCCGAAGGTTTCAAGTGCTTGAAGGTGCTCAAGCTGCAAAATTGCAAAGGTAAAAGAACACTTCGATTGATTTTGGGGTTTCGTTTTTTAACTGATAATAGTGCTTGATGATCTCTGTTTCTCTATTTTAAGTTTTTGGATATATGAATTTCAATTGGTTGGATACTTATATATTCTTAAATGGGGCAATTTTGCGTGGATCTTCTCTGTATAACAGCTATTACTGATAAAGGATTAGCTTTGATTGGTAGCGGTCTTCCTTCCCTACAGTCTTTGGATGCAACATATTGCCGAAAGTTAACAGACAAGGGATTGTCAGCTGTTGCTGAAGGCTGCCATGACCTGAGAAGCCTCCATCTGGCTGGCTGCAGATTTGTCACCGATGGATTGCTGTTAGCTCTTTCTAGGAATTGTAAGAATCTAATAGAGTTGGGCCTGCAGGGATGTACCAACATTACCGACTCTGGACTCGCAGATCTCGTTGATGGCTGTCAACTAATTAGGTATTTAGACATTAATAAGTGCATCAATGTTGGGGATTTTGGGGTTTCCAAGGTTGCCGAGGCTTGTTCATCGTCTCTGAAGACGCTGAAGTTGTTGGACTGTTATAAAGTTGGAGATGAGTCCGTATTCTCCTTATCCAAATTCTGCAAAAATCTTGAAACTCTTATAATCGGTGGTTGCCGGGGTGTGTCTGATGAGTCTATAAAGTCGTTGGCGGCAGCGTGTAAAAATAGTTTGAAGAATTTGCGGATGGATTGGTGCTTAAACATTTCTGATTCTTCATTAAGATGTATTCTAAAACAATGCGAGAACTTAGTGGTGCTTGATATCGGATGCTGCGAGGAGGTTACAGATGCTGCTTTTGAAAGTCAAGGAAATGGGGAAATTGAGTTTGGCTTGAAGGTTTTGAAAGTCAGTAACTGTCCGAAGATTACAGTGTCGGGAATAGGTATGCTTTTGAGTCGATGCAATTCTTTGGAATACCTTGATCTGAGGTCTTGTCCTCATGTAACTAAGGTAGCTTGCGATGAAGCCGGATTAATTTTTCCCGAGTTTTGTAAAGTAAACTTCACTGGTAGTTTAAGCGAGCCTGACATCCTCGTTTAAGATGAAGCACTTAACTGTTGCAAGTACTTGACCAGGTATTAAAGCCAAGTAGAGTGCCATAGCAGGTGAGGGCTTTTAGCAATTTCTTTCCGTGTCTTGTACATGTTATGCATGAAGCTTGGTTGGGGTAATGTTTGTTGTTTATTATTTTGGTCGTATGTGTATTTTGCATGTATATTACTCTTCCCATGACTTGGTGGAGTGATGTAATTTGTTCTTACATCTCCATTGATTTGTGTTCTTACATCTCTATTGATTTGCCTCCGGCCATGACAATAAAGCTGTGTGGCTTCTTATTAGTTTTCTTGAATTTGGCATGTTCTATTTCAGGCATTCATATAGGGATAGAGAATGAATGGAGTGGTAGATTGTTTGATCAAATCTATTCCATTAAGAAGAGTTCGACAAATGAATACACTCCCTCGAATATAAAATAGGTTATATGGACACAGCCTAGTGATCTCAGTGGTTAGGTTAGAGCACCATGTATGCAGGGGCATATGAGCGTTCATCGTTAATGGATGAGAGCCTTTAAACTCCAGTCTAATAAAATAAAGTTTAAACGGATTGAAATAGGATTGAAATTTTGTACAGATTTAACATGTTCGTACGTTCATATTGTGAGGGTTTTTATTTACCAAACGATTTATGTTAATAGACACTTCTAACTATTCTGTTTTAAGGAGAATTCATGTCGTTCCAATTCAAGATAATTATGAAAAAAACTCTTTATACATATCTATATATAAATCAGGTTTTAATAAAAAGATGTATATAAAATTTGACATATATGGTGTTAGATTATGACCTTAGTTTTAGAAGGCGAGCTAAGGCGTCGGACGCACAGAGGCGCCGGAAAATTTGCATCCGGTTACACGGGCGAGGTGAGAAACGGTCCTTTCTCGCTTTTAACGCTTTTCTGGAAACCATGTATATAGTCTTTCTTTTATATAAAATTTAATTTCAGAATTGACTGTTTGATTAAAGCATGTATACAATCAACAACTACCGTTTGATGAAATTTAAAGTCTGGAATTTTAATTTGATTAAAGCCTGTATATAGTTTCTTTTATATAAAATGTAATATTTTAATATATGATTTTCGGGATAATTTAGATCCGGGGTAATGGATGTTATATGATTTATTTTTTTTTTATTATTGACTTTTTTATTTATATTTTCTTAAATTTCAGCTTTATAATGTTATTTTCTGTACAAAATATGTTATATAATTGATTTACAGATTTTTTAGTATAAAAGTGCTTCTTCGTTCTGCGTTCTGTTCTTAGGCTCCAGGGATTCTTTGCGTCTCAGTATGCTTGCACCTTTTAAAACTAACGGATCGAACTTATATCTAAACATGATTGAAGAATCGAGGAGCATATATTTGAATCAACAAAAACTTTTTACATTTCTTAAGACTTCCTCCTTCCATCAACGATTAACAGCATGATGAAAACCGAGTATCAACATTCGTAGCTACAAGCCGCCCGGAAAGTGACTTGTACATCTTCTAGTCCCCGGGACATTGCTTGCTGGAGATACTTGAAAGCTTTCTGATAATTCAAGAACCCCATGAACCAGAAATCGAAACCGTCGACCTTCATGATTTCCATGTACTTCTGCCATGGATTCTTCACGTTTTCACTCTCGTTCACTCCTTTATTTTCTCAAGAGGTATGGGACCTGATGTTGTCGACAAATAGCATTGGCAAGCCTTAACCATCTTCTCTCCTTCTCCAACACTAAACAATTGTTTGAAAACTTTCTCCACCCCTCCTCCTTGAAGAATTCTTGCCCCCAAACTCAATTTTCCCTTCACTGTTTCACTGATCTTCGGCCCCAATCTCACTGCGGTTCGGAAATGCGAATTTCAGATACGAATAATTCGATTATTTTTCGAGTTTTCGAGTTTTCTCATATGTTTAGAATGTTCATTACCATGCTCTCGGATTCCGTGTGCGAAACTATCAGCTTTCTTCCCTAGCTTGTTCATCCTTCGTAGTAAAAAGTTACCTTTGCCTGCAATTCCGAGACTTCGCCAATTAGTACCGAAAATCATCTTCGTTATGAACATTTCCATAGTTAAAACCAAAACTTGCTCTAAACGTTGCAGACCCCGGGGCATCAGGCAAGTAGCATCTCGGGGTTCTCTCGATACACGTTCGATTTCATCGGAACTCTGATCATAACTTGATCGAGCAACTGGTTCTTCATTTTCATCGAACCAAACTGAATCATGTATACTTGTGAGGTGTTGAATGAAATGGTTAGGCAAATGGTATTTAAAGGGGATGTAAATGGGGTGGTTGAATCATCAAACTTTATCAATTTTGACAAGATTCGGTTTCTTTAAGAAAAAGATAGTGACGAAAAAGACAGGCAGACGTCATGGATTGGGTTTTTTTTCTCTACAAGAGGACGTGGGATTGGAACTTTCTGATTTCTACTGCTGAGATAAAGGGAACATGCATTTGCCAACAAAATGGAACAAACTGTAGACTCGGAAAGTTGTACACAGGATGAATGCGGTGAGTTCATGGCGAGTCAGTGATGCTTCAACTTGTTAGACATGTCATATTGTCATGCATAGACCATGTGAGATGAACTACCATAAAGTTAGACATGTCGTATTGTCATACATATACCATGTGAGATCAAATATCATGCCCCTACAGCCCTTTTCTTTTGTTTAATGTTAATGTTAGAGTTCGTGACTCAAATTCCATTTTGATCTAGTTTGAAAAAGCTCTCGGTCGGGGGTGCAAGGGTGACAGGTTCCGAACCTTGTTGCTCAATCAATCCGTACAAGAATATACTTGTTCTGTTAATTTTTTTATTGAAAGTAGAAATTCGTATTGAAATGATATTTTATAGTATCAGATTTCTTTCTAATTAATTAATTGATCTTATAAATGAATAACAAGGAATTAGTGTTATTGTAAAACGAAGTCGTGTGATACCTTAGAGTCGTAAACTCTGTATTTTTTTTACATTATACTGATTTTTTTATCTTTGGCATGTGATTTTTTCCTTTATGATTTTCATGTGAATTTTATGTTTTGGTTTTTGATCTAGTCACATTTAATCACTGTTATCTTCCTGATTATCATAACAGTAGAATTTTTTTCTTAGATATTATTATTCTGGGTAAATTACGTTTTTAGTATCTAAATTTTTAGTTTTGATCCGTTTTAATACCTAAATTTTTAATTTTTTTCAAAATAATATCTAAAGTTTAGTTTCATTTTAGTATTTCAGTTCAAAATTTAAGACTATTTTGCTTCACATTAAAGAAACACAACAATGGAAGAATCCGAGGCCGGTTTTGTCGACATTAAGAAAAACATACCATACGTGTCCGTATGCTGAATCTTCAATGAGCCCAACCAAGCTGTTTATATGACAACAGTGGGATCGTCCGGCTTTCGAGGACAATACAAAAAGTCGTTCAGTCTTTACCTATCAAGTATCAAATGTGCTTTGTAAAGGGTTTGTTTTTCTTAGAGGAGAAATAGGGTTATGGTAGTTTTTGACGGTTTATTCTTGTTATAGATAAAGAGTCGTAAACAATAATTGATGAAAAGAAAAAAAGAGGAGCTAAAGAAAGGTGACAGAGTGAGAGAGACTCTTTCATACCGATCTGGTATGGTAGGTTATATATGAGTCATTAATGTTGATGTTAGGTCTAAAAAAATATTGTCTATTCATAGGTTGAAAGAACAAATAGATCCGTCTGTGAGATAATGAATGTAAGTGGTAAATCATGTGGATCTACCAATGATAATATCAAAGAATAATAACAAATATCAGGGACTATAATTAATTGAAAGATATAAAATTACAGAGGTTTCGATAATCAAATAGATTTAATAATAACAATGAAAATATCACACGTGAAGTAGGTCAGTTGGCATTGCCACATGTGCACCGACAACTTTCTCCATTTGCATGCGGCGGCTACCCCTTACCAAGACAGCATCATTCATATTCAAGCAGTTGAAGGTTTTGAGAACCACTTGCATGTACAATCTTCATCTTCTTCGATAACTTCATATTAGCAGCAGCCTCCTTCCACCTCAACCCCCCATCACCTCAGTCTATCACGTGTTGATAACCTGCCCAATAACGCAAACCAAGCAACAAGAGCATTTCGAGGAATATAAAACGGGAACCATATGAGCCTCGCCTAACATACACGCTCCGTTTTCCTTCTCACCATTGATAACAATCGAATACCTCGGAGAATCTATACACCCCCAAATCCAATACACAAACACTTTCGGGAATCCATGCGCATCAAGCACACACAAAATAGTGTCACAATGCAAAGAATCGAAATCCTTCTGTAACTCAACCTTTATTACACATCTACAGACAATCCCTTCTTGCCATATCCCCTCACCAGCTCTTGAGCGAGAAGGATGTTGTCAATAATGCTTCTACCCTTTACAAAAGTAATTAACTCTTTGAAACAATACCCAGCAATATAATACTTGGCAGCAAGATATAGACCTGTACTCCGGAACATTACTTGGACTTGCTTTCTTTGGCACCAACGTGACTACTGTGGCATTAAAGCCTCTCAAAGGTTCCAAGGTACTACAATAATAAAGGACTGCCTCCACTACATCCTCACCGATAACCCCGAACTCTTATGATAAAACCAAACTGTGTAACCGTTTAAAGAAAACATAGCTGCCCGCACCTCCTCTCTAGTAACAATCTTTCCCAAATCCTCCTTGGCTTCGGCAACAAGGCCCTAACCCAGCAGTTCAAAAATGTGTCACGGTTGGCAAAGAGGAGGAGAAGCACGAAGCGAAGGGCATTGGAGATTCAGAAAATGAATTAGGGATTGAGCTAGGGATTACATGTTGTGAATTGGGGAATTTTGATGAAGAGGAATTAAAAATGGAGTATGTGAAAAGAATGATTTTTTTCTTTTCTTGAATCTCTATTCTCTCGTCTACTATATCATTTTTTCTTCTCTTCTTCGTCTATTTTTCTTATCTATTTCTCGAGGATCATAACAAATTGGTATCCAGAGCTACTCTTCCTAGCAACTTGTTCATTGTTATACCCTAGAAAAATATCAAACCATGGTCGAAACTCCTAACCATGGTCGAAACTCCTAATCTTTCTTCAATCCAGCAATAGATCGAAAAGTTAGCTAATCTAGGAAGCAAACTACAGAGGGAAATAATCCTCTTAAATGGTGGCAGAATCAAGAAAGTAGGTTGAGTACGTTGGAATCCAAAATGACGTTGCATCAGTGAAATGTGCAGCACATTTTACATATTCTAAATGATAAAAGGAGTGAGCATCAAATTCATGGGGGGGGGAAATGGGTCAGTTTTCACTGGGTGACTTTCAACCCTTATTCCTTGCTCCTCAAAAGACATTATCGATGATAATCGAAGGCACATATGGCGTTCCTCAAGTGTTCGATGAAATGTCAATAAGAGAAACTAATGTTGAATTTCCATCCATCACCGGCTCCATGAAGGTTAATTCACGGCTGCAACAGAAACAAACCACAGAAGATAACAAGGGTGTTATGAGGGCTGAGTTGGAATTTACACAACAACTTCAAAATCAAATTAATGTTCCAGAAGAATTAAGAATTTATCCAAATTCTTTGTTGGTATGGACTCACAAAAACAATTCATTAATTTTTCTTCAAAGACAAATGTGGCTCATTTTCTTATGTGTCAAACAGTGGGTAACTCAAATAACCTGAATTCTATAGTTCAATCGATGTTGAGGGAAAAATATTTCATGGTGTTTATGAATGTAAGTGAAGATATCACAATCCTTGATCCTTATGTGTTTCGGCTTTCGCTGATGGGAAAATTAATAATATAATGTCTAATTTTTCTAATATTTAAACTTACAATGACCTAAATTATTATTAGACAAAAAAATTTGAATACTTATTTTTACATGAATCAAAATACAATTACATCAAATCTATCGAACATATAAAAATTTTACAAGGGTTGAGGTCTATTTGAACCCTAATAGAACTTCGTCCCTATCAGTGATATGAAGAATGCTTATTATTCTTAGATGTCTTGAATTTAAGCACGACGTTTGTAGGATTAGTAATTAAAAAAAAACTAAAAACATAAAATACCATTAAGTAAATAGTTATGAAACATTTTCACAAAAAGCGCCATCATAATGCCCCCCAAAATCAATAGGGCCATCATCCATGGATGGATGAGTCAAAAGAAAAATAAAACACACTTAAAATTGATAAAAATTGATAAATTCTTAAAAATTGATTTAATATTATAGATATTATAAATTCTTAAAAATTGAATTGTTATTCAATTTAAATAAATAGATAAACCATTCCCAATAGATTTAATCTCATTTATTAATGCTTCCAAATAGGCACATAACTTTCTGCATATTGTGACTTTGATATATCAAGTTCTTTTCATTTATAAACCGATCCCCCAGGTCATGTAATAACGTCAACAACCTTTTAAACTCCTTTAACGCTAATAATTCGTTAATCTCATGGGAGCCAGTTGTTGCAGCTCTCTCAAACATCTCTTACTCGCATTTCATTATCGTCCTCATCCTGCACGTACTTTCCCCAGAACCAGTGGTTCTTCCAAACTTCGTTCATCTCTTCAATATGGACGTTCTTCGTCTCCGGCACCAGCAAGAAGACGAAGGCCGTCATGATTACGACGAAACCGGCGAAGAAGAAAAATAGTCCGAACTTCATGTGGCACAGCATGGTGAGGAAGATTTGGCCGATGATGAAGGTGAAGATCATGTTTACGGCCACGTTTATGGCTTGTCCGGCTGATCGGATTTCCAGTGGACAGATTTCGCTCGGCACCAACCACCCCAATGGTCCCCATGACCATGCGAATGCGGCTACGTAAGCGCAGATGAAGAACAGCAGCATGTTGGCGTCACCCTTTGTTAGGGTTCCTTCTCCGTTGAACCCGAACTTCATCGCGATCGTCACTCCTACGGCAACCTGCGTAGATTTATGGTGGTAAAGGAACATATGGTTTAAATTTAGTCAAAAATGAACCTACAATGAAAATGAATCAAAGAAATGTGAAAATCATAAAAATTAAAGGACAAAATTGAAAAAAATAGAAAATTTGTTATAAAAAAAAGGAATTGAAGTTATATAAGGTGCAAATTTTATAAAAACAGCTTTACATGCGGGAAGAAGGGAAGAAATAAAGAAATTAGTTACCAAATCGTAAAACTATCAAATTATTTAACTATTTTTTTTTTTTTGATTGACTCGAAATTTTCGAATTTCATCATAATTCAAACTCAAAAACTAATTCGATAATTTGTATTGACTCGAATAACTCAAAATTAATTAATTAAAATCAAGTTGAGTTTTGGTCGGGCTTATTTTTAATGAGCTTAAATGATGGTTGAAGTACCTGGAAGATAAACATTTGTATGCCACCTTCGAGGAACAAGACCTTTCGTCCGAACTTATCGACAGAATAGATAGAAACGATGGTGGCGACAACGTTGACGGTGCCGGTGATGACTGCAGACATGAGTGAGGCGTCATCGCCGAACCCCAACGTCTTGAAGAGAACGGGTGCGTAGAACATGATGACGTTAATTCCGGTGAGCTGCTGGAAGAATGGGATGAGGATGCATAGGAGAAGTTGAGGCCTGTATCTTGGTTGCAGGATGTTCTTCCATGGGTTATTCACCTTCTTCGAGGCCTCGGTGGCGTCGACCAATTCTTGAAACTCGGCGTCGACGTGTTGTGTGCCTCGGAGTTTCTGCAACATTTGCCTCGCCTTATCGGTTTGGCCTCGCTCGAGGATCGAGTTCGGAGTGTCCGGTAGCACGTATGATCCGATGGTCATCACGACTGCCGGAACGACCGCGAGGCCTAGAGAAAGCCTCCATCCCCATCCGCCTTCGATCTTCGACGTGCCGTAGTTAATTAGGCCCGCAGCTAGAATTCCAAGTGTGATGGCCATTTGAAAACCAATGTTCAAAGCTCCCCTGATGTTTGCAGGTGCCATTTCGGATAAGTACACTGGCACAGACTGCATTGCATACCACGGAGAAATCAATAATTAGAATTCGAATTAGAATTACAAGAAGCTTTACTGTTGATACAATGTACCTGGTTAGCGAATCCGACGCCGACTCCGAGCAACAAACGGCCGATGATGAGGACTTCGATGTTCATGGCAATGGCATTCAATATGGCACCATGGAGAAAAGCAACGCCACCAACAAACATCGAGATTTTCCTGCCGAAGATCCTCGTAACGATCGACGCGACGAAGGAAGCGATCAATGCAGCAAGGTAAAGGGAAGATGTGAACAAAGTAAGCAGCTGGCTATCGAATTTGCAATACTCGCTCTCGGTCCCGGCAGCATGACTCTGCTGTTCCAATACATCCGGGAAGAACTTCTTCAAGAACGGCTCCATCGACGTGACGCCGCCGGAGATTCCGAGGTCATAACCGAAGAGAAGACCGCCGCTGGCGGCAATGAGACAAGTGCAGACGACGAACGCCGTGACACGGCCTTCGTAGGCGACTGCCTTGCCTGCTGCACCAACATGTCCTCCGCCCACCATCGCTCTACCGATCCGCAACCTCAAACTCCGTCAGGGGAGGCCTTAAAATTATTGTATGGAATCAAATTAAACAGAGAAATAACGTAAGAGGAGTGAAGGGGAGATGGTTTTAATCTGGGTTTACTGGTGATTTATGAAGGAATTGTTTGAGGATACTTGAACGCACATGTATCACCAGTACTGGGAAAGGAATAAAACTCTCTCCCGCTACTCCTCTTCTGCTTCTGCTTCACCTACCTTGCCTTTGTATTTATACATTCATTTCTAACTGTTTTGCTGCAAAAATAGCTAATGAAACCCTGATTTCCTGATCCACAAATTTATCCTACCAATATTAACACCTACACATTTAGTGGATTTTTTTAAAATAGTAAAATGAATACCAGTTTAGATTCGTCAAATGTTTGAATAATGCAATTGGAAAAAAATTCTTCAATAGTGCAGTTGAACAATTATTTGCTTAAGTAGGGTGATTGTTACAGTGATTACTATAGGTCTCCAGGAGCACAAAACGACCTATGGAGCACTTGGCGACCTATGGAGTAGCAAAAACGAGGGAAGAGAGAAGAGTTGTTGCAATAGAGGAGGTTTTGTCGCAAGGAGCACTTGACGACTAATGAGATTACTGTAGCAAGCACCCAAGTTCAAGAAATAATTTGAGTAGAGCCTTATATGGGGAATTTTTTTTTCCAACGCCCTACATGGGCGAGAAAACCGTTTAGATTATTCAAATTCATATTTATTATAAACAAAGGTAAAACAAATTCATGGATAGGGATGGAGTTTGCTTGTTCTTCACTTATTTGGTTTATTTCCGATGTTCCAAGTTATATTTCGAACTTGGTTAGATGCAATAAGTAGCTAATGTCGTAATTCAATATTTAACGTAATATTTACCGTAACTGTGGAATAAAGAGAGTAATATTTAACGTAATTATGGGATAAAACTATGTGCATAGTTAATCATTTTCTATAGTCAAATATATCTTCTAAAATTACGTACATAATTAAAAATTATGGGATGAAGAGAGTAATATTTAACGTAATTCAATTTTTTTTTATTTTACATCGATTCAAAAATTATTAAATATCATTATAACTTTTACAATGATAAAACTGTAATCTATAATCACATAACAAGTCTCCTAAAGTTTATCTATATATTCATAATTTCTAAATTTAAAGTTAAAGATGGGATTAATATCAAAATAAGCGCTCAAACTATACACATTTTTTCAAATAGGTGCTTAAATTAATTTTCGTCACATCCATATGCCTAACGTTACAAACATTACCCATTTAGGTGTCTGGACCAATAACGGTGTTAATTTTACAGTTAAATGACATGTGTCATAACCTGCTAATTTTAAACATTTTATTTAAAATTAAAAAAAAAAGTAAATTTGTATTTTTTTAAAAACAGAAAACACAAATTTTAAAATAAACCCAAAATTTTGAAAACCTTTATTTCAACACCTAAACCCACATTGACTGCCACCTTTTATCGTCGACGAAGCTCCACCCGACCTCCCCTCAACGACCAAACCCCCCCATTAAATCGTGACCGATTGACAATCAATCGATGACAAATCAATATTTTAAACCGCTCGAACCCTAAGACTAAAATCGTAATTCCACACGATTTCGAAGACCAATCGTCGAAAAATACGATGGCGTATAAGGAGTATGACAGAGACTACATCAATCGCATTGATCATAACCGGAAAGGGCATCAACAGCAAATTAAGGTTATGATTTAAGATTTTGAGGTTATTTTATAATATAAGAAAAGTTAGTGTTTTTTTATAAATATCATAATATTTTTAATATTTTATTTAAAAAATAATTGGGTAAAGTATAGTAATGGTCACTGAACTTTTCTAAAGCTTTCATTTAGGTCCCTCGACTTTTAAAACTTGCAATACAGTCCTCTAACATTTAGTTTGTTTGCAATATGGTCCCCAATAGTTAGTCCATTTGCAATATGGTCCCCCGACGTAACTGTTGGGGGACCATATTGCAAACGGATTAAATGTTGAGGAACTGTATTGCAAGTTTTAAAAGTTGGGGACCTGAATTTCTAGGGAGAGACGCACCATTGCATTGCGGGGAATTGAAGGTCGTGGTCCGATTTTACTTAACTCTCTATTTTCTACTCATATAATATAACTTTTTTCCCCTTTTTGCTTGTTTAATCTCGAGTTATGTACGTTTCTTTTGCTTATGTTTTCTTTGATATATATGTGTTATTTAGGTTTAGTTTTAGGCATGAGATGAATGTGGGATGTAAGAGATGCATACGAGATGGCTTTTGTTCTTCGAGTGGTTTTGGGGTTTGGATAGTTTTTGAAGATAAAAATGCTGCTGGGAATGCATCGCTTACACCCACTAGGTAATTTGCTTTTTTAAAATTACTGCAGATAACTCATTTCTCTGTCCCCAATGGCACTAATTGGAGTAAACTTGAGGAGGTTGCCAATTGTTACATGGTAAATAGTCTCTGGTTTGTTATGTTAATCATTGGGTGATAAAAATAAAAAGGGTAAATGTGTTGGACTGAAAAGGTTGGTGATTTGTAAGGAAGGAAATGCATGGCAGGAGAGTTGTCGTTTTTATGAAGGGAATCACAAAGCAAGATGCTTGACTTGACTACTGCTGTCTTTTTTTCTTTTTTTAAAACGAAAGAAGATACTTTGCAGAAGGATTCATTTTTCATCCCTTTTTTCTCAATCTGCCGGTGATTCTCCTCAGCCCTGCATTTCCACCTTATATCTCTTTTTATCAAACAAAGACGAAATACATTATAATCAAAACAGGTTCGAGGAAGAAATTATCAACAAAAACGCAAACAACCAATGCCTAAAAAACATTTCTTTGGTACTAATAAATTTGTCCTTTTTATATTATTTTGTTGTTGTCTTCTCAGTTTCAGGGTTGACATTTTTATATTTTTAAGGGTAAAGTATAGTAATAGTCACTGAAATTTTCTAAAGCTTTCATTTAGGTCCCCAATTTTTAAAACTTGCAATATAATCCCCTAACATTTAGTCCGTTTGCAAAATGATCCCTAACGTAACTGTTAGGAGACCATATTGCAAATGGACTAAATATTAGGAGACTGTATTGCAAGTTTTAAAAGTTGAGGGACCTAAATTAAACTTTACAAAAGTTCAATGACCATTACTATACTTTACCCAAAATAAATTTCAAAATCACCAAATTATAACACATATTACTTAACAATAAAATTAAAGCCTTTGACAGCCTAAGCACCTAAACGGATAACAGTTGTAAATTAGATACTAAAATTAATTTATGCACCTATTTGAAAAAGCGGTATAGTATACATTCGAACTTAGGTTCTAACGTCATCCATAGCTTATATATGATATTTGAGGCTTTTGGGGCCTTAATGGTACATGCAGATATGATAGGCAAGGACCCAATATGTGTTTCCAATAGAGGAACGTGGAACGACCACCACAATGTCCTGCAACAAAATAAATTATCTGCAGCATTGTTTGCATGATCTATTTTCTCAACAAGAATCCAACTGCTTCACATGCATTGAAAGCTATTAATATTCTTCATTGCCATTTTCAAAATAAAATACATCAATATGTAGTGAAATCATCAGAAAAGCTGCAAAACATCAATATGTGGTGAAATCATCAGAAAAGCTGCAAAAACCAGGTTGTGCTTTGCATGTATCGTTTATCGAAGCACAACCTTGACATTTCCACCAGGCTCGGCCTTGGCCGAGAGAACAAAAGGCAATCAAGATTTAGGGGTACTTATACAGAAACAAAAGCAGTTGTTATGTTACACATCTTAGTAGATGCTGCAGATAATGCCGCCCATGTTCAGAGAAACTAGTCCAAAATGTTTGCCCACTCCAGGTTTGAGTGTCACCTTCAGCTAAGATGTCAGAACAAAGTTGCAACTCACCTTGCATTTTCATCCAAGTTATTCACAGCGTCACACAGTGCATGTACAATCATTTTCTTCACCTGTTATAAACGGCAGATATAAAGGAGATACATTCAAAAAATTAAGAAGATCAAGTAATTGTAAATTCAAGATTTAAAAGCACAAACCATAGAACTTTTTTATGACATGCTAAACTCCTAACTACATGCTTAACATTCAACCTTACTCAAACTCAAATAATCACAACGGATGAAACAAATTGAATCAAGTCCAAATATCCAATTTAAGCAACAACTATCAACAAATATCGCAGATGGTGAAAAAAATCAGGCAGAAGCCAAATCATTAGTGGAAAGAGTTTGCAAGGTTATGAATGTCATGTAATTCAGAGTGTATTGTGCTGCAGTGACGGCTCTGCCAGCATTCATTGATAACTGGGGCAGGCAACTAATGTTTGCTCTCATAGCTTAAGTAGCACTGATCCATGATTATGTTAGGGATATATACAAACTGGACAGGATATAATATTCAAATATCAGCTAGAAAACTGTTCTCCAAAGAACAAGATAACAGTAAAGCTAGCCATTTGCCCTCCTGCTAGAGGGGCTAACAGAAATCAGAGAGAAACCATAGCTTCAACTTTTCAATACCGAGGAACTATGCAACATACCTCCAATTTATCCTCTTGGGTCCTATGTTCATGAGGAAGCACACGAAATTCTTCAGTCAAGCGAACACACTCACCAACATTTTCAGGTGAAACAAAATCAAGAGCAACCTTTATGCATGACTGTCATAAACAGATAAAAAGATAAGAGCATCAAAGAGATAAGCATATGCATGGAACCATCAGTACAGGAAATAAACTCTTGCAAGGTTGCTAACAGAATGAACCTTACAGCACTATTAGTTCAGTAGATATTGCATTTATGACTGAAAAGAAAAGAGATCTCTTGGTGAGCAATTAAGGTTGTTAGCACAATGTGTGACCAAACACAAAATCTATCAAGGATATCAGAAATGTCCCAATATTTGCTTCCTTGTTGCTATGACAAACCATTGACATCTTGAATCTACAGACAAGTAAAACCAATTAAAGAGCAAGATTCATAAGTCTTTTTCCAATCACTATGACAACAGTTACTATTCTTTGCACCAAGGGGAAGAATTGCATTCCCACATTTGGTTCACAAAAAAGACTTACTAGATAATAACTCATTACCAATAATAGCATTTTTTTATTAAAATGGTGAGAATGTCATTTACTCCAAATTCTACGGTATCACAATTTCCACCAATTTGGACAAAAATACCCCTAAAATATTGAATTCTTTTCATATGAACCATTCTCAATTCTTATTCTTCGTACTTTACTCAAAATTATAAATATAATAATAATATAGAATGAGTTTGATTTATTAAAATACTAATAAATTTGAGTAATTAAAATTATTTTATATTTTTAAATATTTAATATATTAAGGATAAATTACAAATTTGATGACTAAACTTTACTCTCTCTCTTATTTCACTCATTATGCTTTAAATCTTTTCAATTTCCTCATTGAACTTAATACAATGTGCTTTAAATTTGCTAGCCAATTGTTTCTTCAATTCTCCGATTTCAGCCATATCAATTCTGGTAAAAGCAATGTCATCTACATAAAAAATTAGGATAACCATCTTTCCACCAAGATCTCTTTTGACAAACCTGGTGTCGTTTGCTTGACATTGTTTGTAACCATCCTTTTTTTATAAAAGTTGAAGGTCTCATTAAAAATTCTCTTCGTATTCGTCCACATAGTAACATGTATGTTAACGAACATTAGAAGAAAGAAAAGAGTACCTCATATTTCATTAAATAAAACACACAATACATATGAAAACACAAAATACCCTCAAACGGGGATAACACCATTACAAAAAACCATAACCACCTAAAACTCTCGCCTCTTCGACCACAAAAATCCAAAGACAATCACACTATACCTTAAGATATACCTCCAGCAAAAGAAAACAACCCAGCACTTAATGACATAACATACAAAAAAACAACCACTGCAACCATAAAAAGAAAAAACCCACCTCTGAAGGGAACTCCACAAAATACCATCACGATCCAAAATCAGCAAAAAAAAAATCAGCTCCTAAAGATATCTTCAATGGAACAAAACCACACTTCTTTCCCATCAATCAATTGTGTCCTTGCAACTTAATTCATAACTTTTTTCTTTTGCTTGCATTTCTTCACCACACGATTTTTTCTTAATTTCCCAGGGAAAAAGGGAACTGTTGGGGTATCTTCCTTTACTTGTATTGCGTCACCGGATAAACCATTAAAAGTAATTAGACCCATCATAAGAACATCTTCCGAGGCCCTGGAGCTAACTCTATCAGAATGGTCAACTGATTTATTAACTAGATGCTCCACGATATTTAATTTTGATTGATCCAAAGCCTTCATTGAATGAAACCCTGAATCTAAACAAGGGGAAGGAGACATTCCTGACCTAACTCTGGCTGACCCACTTTTAATAAGATCATCCTCATCAAATTTTTTACTCAAATTCTCATCACTTTTGGCACTCATCATGAGTAAAACCTTTTCTATGTTGGCAACTTCAATTGCAACATCTTCGACGAGGCAATTTAAACCTGAGGAGAACACCGACGATCCTAACAGAGAATTCTCCGACAATGCCCCAAGAGAACAAATCAGATCTAATGAATTATCGACTTCCTCAGGGATCCAAGACTTTGGTTTGAAAGAAGACTCAACTTCAAGAACCATGATTTTAAAAAAATTAACACCAATCTTCAAACCCAACGACTCATAAATTCTCACTTGAGCCTTTGTGAGAATTCAAATTTTTGCCCGAAGCAAAAGATGAAGGAAATTGAGAGCTTTCATCAATTGCTAATAATTTGCCCCACCTAGCTGCAATGTTCTTGAAAGTACCCCAATTCCAAGCGTGAAAAGGAATTCCTTCGCAAACTACCCACACTCGACGGCACTCCACCACTAGATTCTCTGACCAAGCTTCAACTCTGGAAAACCACTCTGCAAGAGTCTCTGATTGTTCAGTCTTCACCCTTCTCAACGTAACAGAGTCCACAAATATCATTAGAACAACATTCCCAACAGCTCTCATTAATGAGAAACCAATGAGTCCTTTGGTGAATCGTTCAAACCAATTTGTAACCATCCTTAATAACTACTTTGGTGAATCGTTCAAACCAGGCCCTTATAGACTATTTAAGGTCATAAAATGAATTTTTCAGCTAGCATCTTTTTGCCATCCACTTGTTTTTCCATTCCTAGAGGGAATTGCGTGTAAACCTTTTTATGCCTAATTGATGCGGTTTCCAGCTTTTTAATTGCCAAAGACAACAATATCCTTATTCAATTTAGCTTCGTCATTGGTGCAAATGTTTCCCAAGAGTCTATCCAAGTTTACATCCTTTAGCTACCAACCTTGCCTTGAATTTCTCCACACTCCCATCAACATTGTTTTTTTCAATAGAAACCCACTTGCAGCCCACTAATTTTTTTTCGTTGTGGTAACTTAGCTTTGGTCTAAGTCTTATCAACAACTTTCTCCACCTAGGATCTTTCATAGCCTCCTCCACTGTTTTTGGAATATAAATATTATCCACCTTTGTAGTAAATGCTCAGAAAGAAGGCTTCAAGTTCCCCTATGAAACAAACCGTTGGATTGGATGGTTTGCACATTTCGTCACACCTTTCCTTCGAGCAATAGGCAGATTAATATATCAATAAAATAAACACAATTTTCGTCTTGAAATAATTCCTTACCATGTGATCAATTACCTTTCGAACCCTTACGAATAGTAGGACAGAGGTTAAGTTCTCAGCAAATTCCAGGATGTAGAGGGGTCTTAGAAATGAGTTTTTCCTCTTATTGTAGACACTATGTTCTTTTCTCTCAAGTTGTAGGGTTCTGGATTTCTGACGAGTTTTAAGTGGACTGAAACATGGTTGTAAAATGGATGAAAGTGCAGGTGAGGGCAGCTGCAACATAAGTGCTGGTACGGGTGCAGCAGGCGAAAGAAGCTATGATGCTCATTCGGGTGAAGGTCAGCAGGTGATATAGGTTGTAGCACGATGAAGAAAGATGCTGAACATAATCAAGGAACTACAGATAAGACTTAGAGTAATACTAAACGACATGGCTATTATCTGCACCAAGGATAAGTAATACTAAACACGGCTTTTATCAGCACCAAGGTACCTAATCGAGAGAAGTGCTCAAATAAGCATACAGCATCACAAAATAGAGTAATGTGAAAAAGAAGGAACCACTTCAGAATTTTGATTGTTTAAATTTACAAACTGCATCTTTAGGCCATTGATTTTAGGATGATGTAGCAGAACTTATTTCCTTCTTAAAACTGCAAAAGCATATACTAAATATATCTAGTTTGGTATTATTTAGTTCATATTGATCAAAAGAATTTCACATGCCTTTCAATCATGTAATATATCTAGTTTTGTAATATTTAGTTCATATCTAAACCCTGAAACCTTTTCCTTTAATAGGATTCAAAAGAATTTCACATGCCTAGATTTTTATTTTTGAAAAGTCACATGCCTTAACATATCTAGTTCATATTGATCAAGACATTAGCTACACAAGCAAAATAATACTGATGTTGAGACCACCACCAGAGATAAATATCTCTTTCAAGCAAAAGCATTGCAGAAAATACAAGTAACTCGTGTTACCTTAATGTTCCGCACTTGATGAGGACAACCTGCAGGTATGAAAACAGCTTCCCCAAGTCTCTGAACAAAGGTCCATGGTTCAATTCCTGTGTGACAGCATTTCAGATAACCATAACCAAAGACTGATGTTTTCTATCACTGGTCCAATAATATTTATCATACATTTTAACATACCACATTCCTTCTTAAGCTTTTCTTTATGCTCCATAGTCAGAAAAAAGGACTGGTCATGTATAGGATGAAAAACCTATATCACCAAGAGAGAGTAAATCGTATAATATAAATAACTAGTCAGAGGCAAAAAGTAAGAAAAAACTGCCTATAATGCAGTAAAATTTATAGAACGTAAATGAACTAGTAAGAAACGGTCTAAAACCACAGCCTCTCCATAAAATCCCTTTAGATTCTGTTCTTCACCCAGCTCAATGCACAGCACATGAGAGGCAGGACTTAATAATTCTCCAGTCTAAGAATTGACTGCCTAAAACAATTAATACATGAAAGTTTATAGCATATAAATATGCTAATAACAAATTGTGTAAATTTAAGGGGCCTCTCTGCAAATCCCCAATTTCTCCAAATTGTAAATGTCGTGGCTTTATATTCAATGGCATTTCTAGTAGACACAAACACTAAGTAAAGATCCATTTCTAGTAGACACAGTCACCAAGTATAGATCCATTTTTTCAATGTTCTCAAGGAACCATAAAAGGTGCATGATGCATCTTAAATAGAAAATGTTATCCATCTTTTCGACACAGCTTTAAGTTTAGTGAATTTCAACAAAAAAAATGAAATGGAATACACGAAGCTCATTTAGGAGGTCCACTCGATAGAAAGTATTGCAACTCCCTTACAATATATTATATTTAATAAAATTTTCAAGCACAAAATATAACGTAGAAAAGGTACCTGTGATACTGGCTGACAATGGACATATCTAAACTCCCTAAAATGCCTTTTAAGGTAATCCTGCAGCTTAGGACCATCTTGTCTACGGAATATGTCCCAGACAGCACCTCCCTCAACAGCTTCCCCCTCTTCAATCTTATTTCCAGAAGTTTCAGATGATCTGCCGTTATCCTGGCATTCTTTAACTATATTTGTCTTCCCACTCTCCTTCATTTCAAATTCCCTCACCAAATTATTGCCACTCTGACTAGGATAACCATCTTGACCTTGTTCAAAGTAAACTTCACCTTCTTGAAAACCAACTCTATCACTAGACTGCTTGGTGCATGCAGAGAAGTCTGAAGACCCATCACTAGGCTTATTCTGTTTATTCTTTGAACTTATTCCATAAAGTTCCAGCTGGTCCTGCACATGGTGCTTCTGTTTTGACTTGGTGATTGAAGCCAGTTGTTTTTCCGTAAGCTTCACGTCAGCAATGTGTGTTAAAACATTCACCTAAAAAAGAAATTTTAATACAAATAAACATGCATTAGGAACTAGCTAATGAAAAAATTATTAGAGTTTGTCTGATATTCACAGCACAGGTGGAGAAGCAAATAGAGCCACAGCAAGAGCCCAACTGACAGGCTTCAATCTGCTTCAATGGCAACATAAGCTCATTTTTTCACATCTCATGAAGAGAGGTGCGAAAATAAAAAGCACCTGATCTCCTGAAACAAACGCAGACACAATAAAACTAAAGCATCCAAACCCAAATACTTATTTTTCTCATTATTAGGGAAAGTGGATATTTGAACATGAGAGATTCATTGTCAAGAGACGTGCCTCAGCCCAACCAAAAAATGAGGATATATTGGTACATTTAGACACAACAACTGAGCTATGTTTGCAGAAAGTAGCAGCACCTCGTAAAAAGAAAAGTAGAAATAAGACTAAATACCCACACCACACACAATTAATTAATTCATCTGATACTGGAGTTACAACTTATAATATCCAAAAGTTTACCAACTAGTTTTTGCAGTCAACTTCGTCAATGTCATGCCCTTGCACAACCCACAACAAACACCAAGGCAAAGACAAAGGCCACATACCATGTGATGAAAAAGGAAAAGGGAAAAGTTAAGGAGCTATGCAAATGCACAAACAACTAGAATAAATGCAGAATCGTTGTCAGAAGATATGCCCGTTCGGATTATGTCCTTGAAAGGCATAGAAGGAACAGGAATTTTCTCCAAAAAAAGCATCAAGGATGAACAAGGACAGGATATAATCAAACCACAAAACTGAAAGAACAATCTGTAATTCAAAGCAGTAAGTTTTCCATTTTGAATACCTAATGATTACTTAGGACCATGAAAATAAACCAAAAGACATCTGTGCATTGAAAGATAACATTCAAAAACAACTTTTATTATCTATTTTATCTGTTCAACTTTAAATGATTCCACAAACACCAGCTTTACTGGCACTGCTCAACGTGACTTGTAAAATTCTGGTATGAATGTGCATGTATAGATACTTGTACAGGAAAAGGAAACAGCATGAAGTTACAAGTTTGACACCCAACTTAAATCCAATTTGCCAATGATTATACAGATATATCATAAAAAAAGGAAGGCACAAAAAGAATGTCCCCACCAGCTACACAAGCTAATTAAAATTCTTACTCCAGCCAAATAAATTATCAACTACTTGTTGGCATTAAATTGTCATTAAAAAAAGGATAAAATTAAGACCATACCGCATCAGACATATCACAATGTAGCCTGGTTACAGAGTCACCACGCCCCAGCTCTTGAGCAACTCCATATGCAATATATGACTTTGGTCCCATATCCGGCTTTATAGAATGCTCTGGCAACTTGGTAGCAACATTAAGAAGACCACTTTTAGGATGAGTATATTCTTTAAAAGGCAAACAACAAAGAAACTCAACATGATGACGTGGAAGGAGCTTCTCAAATTCATTAGATGGAGGCCAATCTTTTAGCTTCAGTATCTTAGGCCATAATTCTCCATGAAAACAACCATCTTTGTACCCTTTAAAGAATTGGTGAATGTTGACTTCTACCTACATTTCACCAACAATGCTGGTTATAGAACAAAGTTAATCCAGCCAACAAGTAATTGAAAAAAGACAGGCATACTTTGCTAGTTTGCTGCATAAGCTAAAAAATTAGAGGAACACAAGATACTAAAATGACCATGATAATATAAAAGTAATAAAATATAAACATGGACATATTTTCCATTATCCTTGCTTCAAGTTACAAAAGAGATTGAAATGTGAACATGTTTGTATTCTACAGGATACCAAATTCTAAAGGATTGGAACTTGGAAGTCACAAGGAAAACAATTATTTCTCAAACATGACAATGGAAGCAACACATTTTATAATAAAATATCATTTGACAGCTGCATGCTTTGCAGCATATGCTAATAATAAGAACTGGTATAGTTGATAACCAAACTGACCTCAGACCAATCCAAGCAATCAAGTGCCTTAACTTCCAACTGTTGTTCGTAATTAGTATTCGTAATCTGACGAAAAGCACGCCACATAACCATTGGCTCCCAGCTCAAGCCAGATGCATTCTCAAGTACATTGCTGACAATAACAGGTTCACCATTAGCCCAATGTCTTTGGAAATGTTCCAACTCTCCTCTCTGAATATCTTTAGCTTCTGGACAATATAAATAGTTGTCACTGGTATCTTCACGAGAAGCCGCTTTCCTTAAATTATTATTGCCAATGTTAACTTCACCCTTTGAACTGTAACAAGGGCATTTTTGGTTAGAAAATTGGAGACCAAGATGAAGATTGAGATCTTTGGCTATTTCCTCGGCCTTTTCTGTTAACTGAACCAGAGCATGTTCTGTAAATATACACCTTAACTCTAAAAGGCCATTACCACACCCACCCAAATCCTTTGGGGGGCAAGGAATGCTACCATTTGCATTTGCCTTCCACCCAGAGGTTGCAGCATTCTTTTGTTGGGAGTTACTTTCCACATGGGATTCATCTGGGCAATTCAACACTTTGCCTTCAGACCGGTTTCCGTGCAAGTAATCAAAACCCTTATCCTCATATGCTATAAATTCTTCCTTTTTTCCTCCCTGCAAATATCCATCACGTATCTCACAGCAACACATAAGGCACAGATCATAGTTACAATCAGGACAGCTTCTGTGAAAGTCGACAATCGATGTTCTGCAGTTATTACTGTAAAAAAAAATTGGAATCAGGAGCTTGATTAATATGATTTTCAACAAAATCACCCCCATTTAATTTCACCATCATAACAATAAAAATTAGAACCTACCAATATACACGTTCATCATTACAACAAACTGCCTGCATAAGCTGCATTTGTTCTGGGAGCACCCCTATTCATCCAGAAAATAAGTGTTAAAACTGAATTATTATTTATTTGCAAGAAAAAATTTGTAATATCATTCCCCAAGCATACTAAGATAACAAGAAGTTTATAGTGCTGGTTGCTGGTTCAGTACCCTGATAGTAAGGGATCAAGAAATAACATTTTGAGAAAAGAGGTTGGTACAGATGATTCTTAATAAACGAACCAGAATACTGCACAAATTAAGGTGAAAACTGATATTGTAATTAAAAGATTTTCATATAATGCTCTGATTTACTAAATACAGGAGAACAGGTTTAATAGGGTTCAAGAGCCTAAGTGGCATAACGATAAAAATCAAGAATGGCAAAAATAAAAGAGCTTCACATGTCCACAAGAAACCAACTCATAAAGTTTGTAACAACAAATTCAATCAGCATAGCATCTGGAATTTTCTTTTTCAAGTTTTTTCCATATAAGAAACATAATTAGTGAGTTCCAAATAAAACAGAGATCTATGTTCAGTTTCTAGATCAACAAGAGAAGAATTTCTACATTAATTTTAGGACCCTTTTCCTTACAGACTTCACACAAAAGCATGTTCACACCGAGATGCACATACCTCGAATTTTTGCCTCAATGACCACTTCTTTCATTTGTTCTTGAATAATGTGCTTAACGTATGGAAGAAGTTTCTGAAGCAAGTATCTAGAGTACAGAATTTTTTCATCATGACTGAACTCCACATTTATACTTTCTTCCAATCTCTACAAATCATCAAGTTCACAATATCATAAATCACGTATGAGATTATATGTGCAATCATGCATCAAAAGGAGAAGCAAAGCCATGAAGTTCAGTACTCACTTTAACAGGGCCACTCATGCGCATGCATGCCTTGCAATTGCAATTATCGCGACAAACTGGGCAGGCATCAGCAATTTCTTCCTCAGACATCTTGGGATACCTTCCCAGAAAAACAAATACACGGTGAGTTAGATGGGAAACAACAAAATATTCACATATAATTAAGATGACAACAATTAGAGAGAGAAATACAAAAAAAATGTGGGTAATTTGTAATTGCGTGCAATACCAAACAGAAGCAAAGCATGTACATTATGGTAGAAACCAATACTGATAAAAGAGAGTCAAAAACATATATTGCTAGCAACATGAAAATACTAAATAATTCAGGAAAAGCAGTAGATTCTATGGGAAGAATAGATATAGTTAACACTCCAATACGAATACCAATTGGTTAAGCAAGGGATGCAATATCGTTTCCGTTTGCAAAGCATACATCTCACAACCCTTCCCTTATCATTCCTCTGGCATTGATGGCACATTGACGATTCTCCTTCACCCCCCTGTTGAAAGAAGAAGAAAAATCGAACACGTTGACACCTGAATCCTTAATGTAAAGAAAACGAAAAAGACATCATAAAAACAACAAAATAGTTTATTTTTTAACCTTCCCCGTCTTTCTCTTTGTTTGCAGCACAGGCTCTTCTTTCTTGGGAACTCTTGAGGCCCTACGCGGATATCTTGCATCACTGTTTGTTCCCAAAGACTCGTCTGATTTTTCCAAAGTTTTCCCATTGCCTACAACTTCATCCAACTTCTTTCCATCCTTCTTCCGCCCACTTCGACCTCTCTTCTTTCCATCAGCTACCCCTAAATTGCCACTTTGCTCTTCTTTACCTTCCTCTTTTACATCTTTCCCTTCACTGCCTTCACAGTCAGAACTTTGGTTCCTTGCCCTGCCCCTTCTTGCTCTCTTCTTTTGGGGCACCCCATTCTCTCCACTTTCATTGTGATCATCTTCTTGTTGTTCAGAACGAACGACTTTCCTCTTTTTCCTGCCCCTTCGTCTGCGCTTTTTTTCCACAAGTTCTTCATCTTCATATAGAATCTCAGCATAACTAACCCTCTTAGAAACTGCTCTGAGTCTATTCTTCAAATCATCCCCACTGTTTCCTTTCCCATTAGCAGCAGTAGCCAAATAAACTTCTTCTTTTGTACTATATCCATCTTCTCCGTTTGCTATCTCTAGATTATCAGCAGGAGTCGTTCTTTCCTCCAATTTCTCCCCACTTTTTCCCTCTTCGACAACCTCCATCTCGCCCTTCCTTGAAGGGCCTGCCGCTCCCTTCTTTCGACCCCTCTTCTTAGGCTTATTCAAAGCATCCCCTTCTATACCCATCTTCCCGTCTCCTTCAATTCCCTTTTCCTTTTCCATCACGACTTCCCCTGTTTCCTCTCCACCGACATCTCTATTTTCCACACCTAGTCCCTCCTCTCTCACTTCAGCTCGCTCCTCCGCAGAACCGCAGTTTTCTTCACTCCTCATATCTTCACCGTCGCTTTGCCAACACTCCTTAGAAGAGTACAAGTACTCCCTCTACAATCTAAACTAAGTAGTAGAACAAGACAAAGCCTAGTTTCTTTGGCCTGGGGTGGGAGTTTATAAATAAGTCGGTAATATGGTAAAAGTATAAGTTCCCTTGTTCGGTTTTTTTCTTTTTTGGAACAAAAAAAATTAAAGAGAAGGATACCGAGTATAGAATGAGAAGGAAATAGCTTAAAAACCGGCGCCGTTGATTTCCCGCCCCAGGAATATGGATTAGGGTTTGGTTTTAGGGTTTAAAATCTTAAAATATCAAAAACGGTGGAAATTTTAGGAGGGAAATCAAAGACGTCCCGTCCCCTGTGTCTCTTCCTTCGCGCAGTGTTGGAGAAATAAAAAAATAGGAAAACCAATCAAATCAGCTGCAAATTTGAACCGCAGCTTATTATTTCTTTCTCATCACTCTTACATATGCAATTTTACCTAAAAATTACCCTAACAATTAAATATTACTTGTGAGTTACTTTTTCTTCAAATATTATTGATTTAGTATTCTTTCTAACAAAACGTGGATCATAAAGCGTACATTTGCAGTGTTTTATCTGAGCTAGCACCATGGTATAAAAGCACGAATTATAATTTGTGTCTTTGTAGGGTTTTATCTGAGCTAGCGCCATGGTGGTAAAGCGCAGATCATGAAGTGCGCCTTTACTATAAATCATACACGTGACGGAAGGCACGAATTATGCATTTAAATCATAATTGTCCTGCCTTAAATACCGCCCAACCTCTCTCCTATAAATACCTCCATCATCCAACACTCATACTACACAAAAAACATTTTATTTATTCGTTCTATATATTGTTCTATCAAGTTTTAAGTAAGTATAATTATCGTTTTTAGAAGCTAATTTTTTATTATATTATAATCATTTAATAGTTTATTATATTTTATTTTACTAATTTTTATTACTTTTTACAGTTATAAAATGATAGGCAGGTTGTTGCGTTTAGATGAGAATCATATATAGAGACATTTTGTCGATACAGTAATAATTTTAAATTTTGTTATTTTATTTATTGTGAATGTTTTATTCATTTATTTTTTTAGTATTAGTTTATATTTTAATTTGTATAATGTTTATTTAATTAGGTGAATGATCGTATATTATATATATTTATTCGTAACGCTAAATTAGAGATACTAAGATGTGTCTGGTCGTATTTAGCTTATTTTGGATTCTGTTACCTAGCGAAATAAGAAGGGCATTGTAACATTGAATCCAACATTAATTCTGCACTGATTAAGAGGTGAATACCAGAGACACACACATTTCATCATTTGTGTTGAAAATACACTATTACACTGGAAGATGTTTCCTTACATTTGAGGCTTTCGATAGATGGGATGTTATTTTTAGTATGGTGGATGGTGATTGACATTCCTTGTGCAAGGAGTATCTTGGAGGGATCCTGCCTAATTTTAACAGTGGTTGAATACCGTTATCATGATTGGTTAGAAATTTTCGACGGGTTGAGCGATGATTGTTCCGAGGAACATGCTCAAATATTTGCTTATACTTACATATTGCAACTCGTGAGTCATGGGAGGGATCTTGATGCCCAATAAATCTTGCAATCAAGTTCATTGTATGTGGTTGTGACATCTCGTAGATTTTTTAGTTGTCGGCTCACTCAGTTAGGGCTTCGCGGTTTTGACATCTATATATAGAGAAATGTGTCGAGTAACTGATTATCGAAAAACTGCTATCGACAGATGTCTCTTTCTCCTCCAATCATGGGTATGGTATCGCATGCCCTTTTTATGTTCGGTCGTGAAAAACCCGTAAGTCTTCCCATTATTGTTGAGGTAATTTCAATACTGAGTTTGTATATAAATAATTTTTTGAGTATATAATGAAATTTTTTTACACTGAATAGGTGGTCCTCTATAAGAAAAGATCATCGTGATATACCAGACGAATTGGAAGAAATTTGACTGCTCATTGATTAAAAGGCTAATACAGAGGTATGTATTTAAATTTTATTATTTACCTTTAATTATCGTTATATAATTAGATAATTATTTTGATAAAAATTATATATATCTGTTTTAGTTTCAATGAGCTCCTCATTCTACTGAAGAAATGAGGCGTTGCATCCTACCTCACTTGAGTGACCCGTTAGATGTATAAATGGTGGTAGTCCCTCTGATATGTTATGTTATTGTCTAGTGGCATCCTATTCATCGTGTGCTATGCCAAATTGGTTTCGTACAATCTATTCCTAAAGCACATAGGATTCTCTACAATATGCATAACATTGATAGACGAGACAAAAAAAAGGTTAACTGGTTGATGAAGCACAACGAGTGGGTAATGATATATGAGGATCAACGTGGACGCATTTCCTGTAGGGAGTTGATTTATGTGGATCATTAATTAAGGATGACTATTATCAATGGTTTAACACAAACGAGAAGTTGTTCATATTTTCCAAGAAAGCACGAGGCAGAAGCATTCGTCGGCGTCAATAAAAATGTCCACCATCACATCATCATTGTCCCCCGACTCGTGGACGAAGAGCATGCACTTCCATCTCGTCATCAACTGTAGCACCAAAGCTATCACAACAGCCACCAATTTATATTTCGTAACCGTTTCAGATGTCATCACAACCATTTTGAATAGCAACGCATTTATTTCTGATGTCACTGTAACTATTTCAGATGCCACTACAACCATTTCAGATGCCACCACCGTAAGGTTTTATGACACCTCTTGGCGGATATACTCTCATGCTTAAAAATCCAATGTGGTTTTCATATGCTGCTTATTTGGTGAGTGATGCTTCACTAGAGACACAAACACCTCCGGCTCAATTTTTGCAGTTTTCACAGTTTTCTATGAGCGGTGAGATGGTTAGTCATATACCTTCAAGGACCTCATTCTTTGGAGGTGCTACATCATCATCCATCCCTCATCAACAAAATGTAGCTGCTACAGATGATGATGATGACGATGATGATGAGAGTGAGGATGAATAACAACTTATACAAAGAAATCCTCATTGAAATAGACAACTTGTGTAACACCCTCAACCCGTATCCGACCTGAATACGAGTATGAGGTGTCACATTGACTTTTCAAACTTTGACTCTTGACAAAATTCAAAGAAAATTCAAAACTTTCATTAAAATAAAAGTTGTTTATTTACATAAATTTACCAAAATAACCAAAAATCGACCAGAGCCTATACAACTCACTCAATTAGTGCATGGCAACTATATTCAGATTAACCATACACATTTAAATCATCTATTTTCTGATCTGAAACTTTGTAAGGAAAATGTTGACCTGTCTTGCTCCTCTTAGCTCTTTACTCTTCTCACTTTTGTAACCTACGTGTGAAACAATCACACGCTAGGTCGTTGACTTAGTGAGGCATAAAACATATAATAAACTCTAACTCGTAATCATGCTTGAACAATTTCTACTAACATATCACATATACATATATATATATATATATAATCCACGCATACATATAATTATCTTCTTTCCTATCATTATCATATTATCACCTTTCATATTTCTATTCTCTTGTTTATATGATCAATTAAGCTCATATCATATATCTTATAGCATATACAATAATCACTAACACACATATACCATATCATATAATTCATATCACAAAACACATATATACATCACATACATTACATTCAATGTTATCTCTTGTTAGCCCATGTGCACCTGTGAGAACTGTAGATATGTGAGTCTATTGAGGTTGTGCACCACTATACTGTCACCACAGCTCATATAAATGTCCCGAATGACCTATCCAGAGGTCATAAAGAACCTCGGCAACTGTCCATAGGTCCCAAAGAACCTAGGTAAACTGTCCATATGTTCCTTAGAACATAGGTATACTGTCCATATATCTCGAAAGACATAGGTAAAACTGTCCATATGTTCCGTAGAACATAGATAAACCCTCGACTCTTGGCATGCCAACTATACCCCTAGCTCTCATATCACATAACATGGGCATTATCATCTATAACATTTCATATCACTTGTTCTTTCTCTTCTATCACATACCACATGAATGTGTAACCATATATTTCATATCATATCACATGTATCACATATTGCATATTCATGTAATCATATAGATCATGTCATATAGCTTATATTATTTCTCATTTTCCTATATATATATATAGTTCACTTTCACATATTACAATTTCCTTTCTCCTATTTTTCATATCATGTTTCTTATAACCACATATGTCTGTCTTATCTCATATCCTATAATTATTTAGCTTATATCTTATATCACATGTT